CCTCGCTTGTCAACCATGTCTTCAGTGACCATTCAAATTTACAACGGTACTGAAAAATAATTTTCACCCAATTTACAACCTCAATCATGTGATTGCTATTATAATCAGTACTTATCTTGTGCCCAATGTGTGATTTTTCCCACCCTTCAGTATGGAGATTGGAAAGAAACAGATTGCAAGAGAGAAACTTCTCTACATATAGAAAGCAATAGAATTGTGCAGCAACCCAGGGATGACAAGTGCAGGCATGCTACACAAAGAGCTTACAGTACTCTAAATCCCTTCTCCACTCTCCAAAACAGGAGGGAAGGCAGTGACAGAGGAGAGATTGCCTGCAGAAATTGCTTCCTTTTTTCTTCTTTGCATCCCCCCCAGATTGGAGATGGATTTTAAGAGAGCAAGTAGTTTGCTCTACTGCACATTGAAAACAATGGAATTGCACTGGCAGTGGGAAAGGCAAAAAAGAGATTGCCTACAAAAATTGCTTGCTTTCCCCCCCCCCTTCCCCTCCCCCAGAGCAGAGAGATTGGAGAGGAAGAGGTTTCAAGAGAGTAGTGTAAGCTCTTTCCATAGTGCACCTGAGGCTTCCAGCCCCAGACTGCCAGTGTGATCACATTGCTTTTGATTTGTACAAAATAGAGGTAAGCACTGGGGGAATGATTTGGAGGCAAACAAAAGCCCAAAGTGAGAAACTGATTAGTCTTGCCTCCAGCCAGAAAGCAAAATCATGGTCATGTGATTTCCCACTTAGGGGGAGCTGCCTGTCCAATTTAGGGTTATTAGGTGAAGACTACCTGTATGTCTTGTAGGCCAAAATGAGTAAACTGATGGAAGAAGAGTGATATCCAGCAGAAACACCAGAAAATCACTAGAGGCAGTCAGTTCAGTTTTTTTGGCTTACATTAAATGCCATCTTTTCCATCCTTCACTGTCAGTCATAGCAGGCTTATAAAACTGAAAACTTTCTCTACAAGTTTGCCTTAGAAAAACACAGCTTAGTTTGTTGCATAGAAACATATATCATATTTTGCTGTTATTGTAGGGAAAATTCAGATGATGCTGTCATGTTTGGGCAACTCTAATCTTTTCTGTTTGTATCCTACAGTAAAGAGCATAGTGTGGAAGTAATTAGATCTTTTAGTAATTAGGCAATTATGCAACTTATAGGCAACATATATTTGTAAATACCCAACACTTCAGAACACAGAGCACAAGAAAAAAAATATTTTTGAAATTAAAACATCTAAGCTTCTTAATGTGAAATAAATGTGCAGATTTTCACATTTTAAAACAAATTACAAAATTCAACTTTGAATTTTATAGCTACAGTTGTGATTTCATTCCTCTACTTACAATTGCCTGCTTCTCTGTAATTAATTGTAGTGATTATTCTGTTCTACAGCCATGGAAAAATAGCATGATTAAAATCCTATATATGTTTGCTTCCATTAAATCTGATTGAATCAATTTCATTGAAGCTATATGAAGAATTAGTTACACACAAAGAAAATCCACAGCTGGTGTGTTTCTTCAAATTCAAGTTTGATTTAAGATTGGTTTCCTGAAGCTCCAACAATTTTCTGCGGCTTTCTACCAGGGGTAGGCAACCTTGGCTCTTTTGTGACTTGTGGACTTCCGGAATTCCTGAGCCAGCATGGCTCAGCTTGGAAACCCCTTCCTTTCCCCTCAGCATGGCTGGCTCAGGAATTCTGGGAGTCCACGAGTCATAAAAGAGCCAAGGTTGCCTACCCCTGGTCTAATGGAATTGCCAATGTCTAGTTCAGTGATGGCGAACCTTTTAGAGACCGAGTGCCCAAACTGCAACCCAAAACCCACTTATGTATTGTCAGGTGCCGGGTGGGCGTGGCCCATTGGGTGGGCGTGGCTGCGGTGGTAACGGCAGACTGGGTGGGACTAAAAAGTTCAATCAATCAATTCTAACTTTGCCAGATCTTTTTTCCCCGCGAGAAGTTGAAATTGATTGATTGATTGAACCTTTTTTTTTTGCACATGGCGGCGGAAGCCAAAAGTGAAAAGGTTTTATAAAACTTAGCTGAAGGCCTAGGACTGGGGCGACGGCACGCGTGCCCAGAGGGAGGGCTCTGCGTGCCACCTGTGGCACGTGTGCCATAGGTTCGCCACCATTGGTCTAGTTGATCACAAAAGGAATGTTCAAAGTCATTCTAACAAGTCTCTGTTTATTTTGCTAGACCACTACAAAATTCTGGTTTGCCACAGGTGGTGCTGGATTTTGCATCAGCAGAGGCCTGGCCCTCAAGATGAGCCCATGGGCTAGGTATGTGTCCTTGGAACACCTGCTCCCCTCCTGTGACCCAAAGAGAACTGAGGAGAGATTCATTCCTTGACTTTTTTTATTTTGGTAGCCTTGGGAGCTTCATCAGCACTGCAGAGAGAATTCGCCTCCCTGATGATTGCACCATTGGCTACATCATTGAGGGGCTCTTGGAAGTGAAACTGTTACACAGCCCTTTATTTCACTCTCATCTGGAAAACCTACAGCAGCTGCGTGGTAGGGCTGTACTCAGACAAGTAAGGACAACTCTCCTCTAAACTACTAAGCAGATGCGTCTTGCCCCCCCCACCTCATCTTCCCTCCTTAAAAGTGTCTGTTTCATGGGAGTTTCTAACTGAGAATATGCTGCAAGTTTGTCATCTGTGACAGTACTGGTGTAGTACAAACAAAATACAAAAGCCTTTTGTGAATTTCTGTCATGGTGACGGGAAGAACAAGAAGAAACAATGGGCATTTTCTAAGTAAACATAAATAATAAGTTTCTTGCTCTTAAGTTATTGTTGAGGCAAAGACTAGGTTCTGAAGTTATGCATAAAACAATTGGAAATGAAGTTAAATGTCAGTGTTCAATTTGTACTTATTTGTATACTATGTGTGGAAAATAGGGAAGTGAAAGAGTACATGACAAGGCAATGATCCATGAAGGGGGAAAGAATAAATAGGATGTAGCAATATTTAAAGCAAAAGAAAAATGCAGGAAGTAGATAAACACTATACTTCTGGGATTCCAGGGAACTTTTGTCAACTTTATGAATACTCTGTAGTCCTTGTTTAGCAACTGTTCAAGTTACAGGAGTGATGAAAAAATATTTTTGCAACCAATCCTCAAATTTATTACCTTCACAGGTCTGTACTGGCAATGGCAAGGGCAGGAAAGGAAAGGAAAGGGACATAAGCATGGTAGCAATTTTACTTACTAGCCACTTAATAACCAAGTTGCCAGTACCAAATGTTCACTAAACAAGGATTACTTGAATTTTAAAAACTCTTCCTGATTATGTTGGCCTTACTTTCACATCCAGATAAAAAAGCAAATATTTGATTTCTTCTCCTAAGTAAAAAGATGGCTATGATAAGGAGATTAAAAATATTTTTTTCTTATAACAGTTTAAGGATTGTTTAACCTGATAGCAGCAATTGTGGAATTTTGTTCATTTCCCCTCCTCCATCTAAGATGGTTCAATTGGCTCTAATCCTAGAGAGACTGTAATATATTTCCAATCCCTGGTAACTAATTCTACTAACTGGAGAAACCAATTTTAGGATTTGAATGTGTTCCAAATATTTTTAAAAAATTAATTAACTTCTAACAAGTGCAATTTTGAATATGTGGGCTGCGTGTGTTTTTTCTAGGTTACCTTGAGTTATGGTGGCCCTGAGAATAAACGCAATGTTGTCAGTGTGGGTGAAGTATTCAGTATACAACAAGATCCAACTCGGTGTGTACCTAATGTTCTAAATGTCTTAAATCCCCTATCCTACTTGTTTGGTTAAGAAATTCAGACGTGAAAACTGAAAATAGGTGGATAATATATTTGCTGGATTAGACTCTAACTTCTTGCCTTACTCTTTGCAGGTTCAAATCTGTCCACTGCCTCCTCTACCCTGAAACTCTGTGGTGCCCTACTGTAATAGTGAAATGATATCTTCCCTTTCCTGTGAATCTCTTACATAGTTTTCTTTAAATGAATAGCCAGAGCTGTATTTCGGAGGAAGAAGAAAGACAAAGAAAATCCCAAATAAACCAGCCGTTCTTCAAAATAATACTTGAGAACTTTGGTCTGGGGCACATTATAAATAATATCTGCAATGTTTCTATTGGAGTCTTAAATATATCTTTGCTAAGCCATAACCCTTCCTGCATTGTATTAGTATAATTTCAATGTAAAGCTGCAGTCTGGCACTGTAGTAATATGGCTGTTAAGTAGTCATTTATTATTGTAATTGTTTGGAGCAAAGCATAGCTTTTTTGTTGTTAAGACAAATGTTCTTATTTGGGAAGGTAGTATAATCAAGAAAGTATTTTTGTTAATTCTGCTTTACTAATTATATTCCTGTGGAACCACAGTAGAAGTGTTAGCAGTGTCATCTCTTACAGTGAATATGAGACAAGCCAATCCCTAGCAACTTCTCTGCTCTATACATTAACAGAACCTCTTGCCTTCATGGCCCTTTAAAATTGGCTTTCATTCTTACCTTTTTGGAAGTTCTCCACTGTTACAGTCAAATCCCAACTGATTGGTCTTCAATATTTTCTAACCACTAATTGTTTCAAGGTATTGAAACAGATATTTCTGTTGGCTGGACCATCGTATGAATCTTACATATTATATTGCACCTAGACTTCCTGATGTGATATACCCAACACCCAGTAGATGGGATCTTTGAGAAAATGACTATTAGCTAACATCCTAAAAGGATGGATCATGAGTTTTTTTTTAGGGTTTTCCACTGGTTCCACGACTGACTTAATAAAAGATATTTCTGAGTCACTACTATTGTACAGAATCCTTCTTGTAAATATAACAGCATTCATCAAAAGCACAGAATTTTGCATTAGAGAATGAGATGAAGAAACACTAGGTATCTATACCAAAAAGAAATATAAGTGTGATATAAAAATAAGCCATTAATATGGCAAGTCTATCACTGAATCTACCCCATTGTTGTGCGCCGGGAACCCTTGCGTGGCTCCGATTTGTCGTAGGAAGCCACACCACAAATACATGAATGTGATTTCTCCACCGTCCACAGGAGAAAAACATGGCGACGCAAGGAACCAGGAACCTCCCTTTCGGACAAAGGAGCGGTCGCCCGGGTGCGGTTTTATACCCGGTATCCCAAAGGGACACCAGAAACCGGGGTTGGGCGCTGCCGATAGATCCGTAACGGGGATGGGGCGAGTCCTCAGACGGGACTGCAAATACGACACCCGGGAACGGGGAGAGTTTAAGAGAGGAGCGAAATCAGCAGCGGCGGAGGGAGGGCCTCGTCTTGCCTCGCCTTCCCCCTTGTGCAAGCCCCTTCGGGCGCCGCCTCCAACACCGGTTGGAGGTTCAGCTGCCGCGGAGGATGGAGCGCTTCTCAGGCCGCCGCGCTCTGGTGACGGGTGCAGGCAAAGGTACTGTCCCCGGGGCCGCGCCGCTGGAGCAACACTGGCGCTTCGGGGACGAGCCCCGCCGTATTAGTGGCGTGCAACAACGTTGTGCTCCCCTTCGCAGGGATCGGCAGGGCTGTGGCGGTACGGCTGAGCCACGCCGGGGCTCAGGTGGTGGCGGTGAGCCGGACCCAGGCAGATCTCGAGAGCATGCAAAAAGAGGTAGAGGCAGCGTGGCTCCCACCTGCTCAGCCTGGGTGCCTAGTTGTGGATCTCCTTTGGCTTCTGCGTGGCTCGGTCCTCACTTTTTCTCTAGCCTAAAGGAAATCCTCTCTTCCTGGAGAGTCATGCCTGAGTGGTTGCCAATAGCTCAGAGGAAGGATGGCTTTGCTTCGGAAACAGCAATATGAGACAGCTTTCCCGCTGGGGTCTCTGCATGTTGAACTAGATCAGTTCTCAAAGATTTTAGCCTGGGGACCTTTTTACATTTTTAGAAGTGATTGAGGACCCCAAAAAGCTTTCATTTGTGTGGGTTATATCATTGTTTATGTGTAGTATATTAGAAATTAAAACTGAGAAATGTTAAAATACTTATTTATAAACTACTGTCATCCCCTTGAAAGAGAAGACCATACTTTGAAAATTGCTGTTCTAGATAAACCTTGAATTTCATTCTGTAGGGCCCTTATTACTTCAAATTTGTTCATGTCTGTGAGTGGAGCTACACTCCAGTTACATCTTATTAGCCCAACCTCAAAAAGTCCTTATACATGCCAGATGTGTGTTCCTATACATGCCTGAAAAATCCCTATACACACCAGATCTCAACTATTTAGAAGCAGATCTGCAAAAGAATGGTCAGATCATGGGTAACTGTAACTCCTAAGCAGATACTATTACATTTCATCACTCACAGTTGTGCCAAGTGCATGGTTGTGATTTTAACCATTGCAAAAGCAGACCTTCCACCCGGTCTTTCAACTACATGTTTATGATGCCTCAGGTAACCAATTAATCAGAGTATCCAGTGCCACTAGCTGCTGAAGAAATAAAAGAATTCCAGTTAAAATTGGAGCAGATTATTGACTGATCCTAGCCATTTTTATAGATTATTGCTCCCTTTCCTTTACCCAAACATTTGAAATACTTTTTAAGACAAAATCTGCAGGTCACAGAAAAGCTTTCAGGGATGTCCCCATTTCACCTACTGTTTCTGTTTGAGGAATTTTTTACCAGCTGCTCTAACCTTCAGGCTGTACTTCAGGCTGTACTGAAAGACAAAAGAGCAAATTAACTTCCACCTTGTTTTCTGCATCTGGACACATCTGGAGTAAAATGATTTGACCTAATCTGGAAATGCCTGGGTTTTATAGGTTAAAATCTTGTGCCTGGCCTGCTAGAAGTGTCATTCAAAAGCTACCACTATCAGATAGCCGCTTGCTCTCTATGTCCCCAGAACAGCACTAATTTAAAAATAAGCTATTTACTACATTTCTCATAATTTTCTCTATGTAGTATTCAAGGTTTAAAAGTCTTGGGGGGGGGAGTAGAGTGACAACAAAATTTCTCACAAAATTGCCATGAAAAGGGAAGTTGTACTTTGTACCAACTGAACTCTGCCATTCTTGGGACATTCTTCACATAGCGTAAAACATGTTTCAAGGGCATCTTTTTTATTATAGGCAATTATTGCAGGATATAGAAGAATGTAATTAGAATTGCAGCTCTCCAAAATACTCTTGAATATCAAAAAAAAATTGGAACATTGTGTGAAAATATCCTTGCAGTTCAAATTTAATGAACTACATATCCATGGCTCTTTGTTTGAAATCAGTATTCTGTCCTGGTAAAGTTTATTTTGTATACTTTGGGAGAAAATTCACTTGAAAACTAGCAGTCCTAAATCGCCTACTTTGCAAACAGCTTCAATTCCCGTCTTCCTTAATGTTACTTCTGTCCTCAGTGTCCAGGCATCCAGACATTATGCGTTGATCTCGCAGACTGGGAAGCTACAGAGGCTGCATTAAGCACAGTAGAAGATATTGATCTGTTAGTGAATAATGCTGCTGTGGCAGTTTTGCAGCCATTCCTAGAGGTGACTAAGGAGGCCTTTGACAGGTAATGGAGGCGAGGGGGTGGCAAGCAAACAAACAAAGAAATAATCCAGGCCAGAGAGAGAGAGAGAGAGAGAGAGAGAGAGAGAGAGAGAGAGAGACAGACAGAGACAACAGAGAGAGAGGGAGAGACAGAAAGAAAGAGATTGCTAACAAAGAGTTAAAAGGAAGCTGGTATAGCTATTTCGAGCTCCTTAGCTCTCATCAGCCAGCTATACCCTTCTGAGATTCTTCTTCCCATATTTGGGCCGACCAAGTGCATCATAAAAAACACTTCACACACACACACACACACACACACATAAATTTAAAGAAAATAGGACCTACAATAAAGGGAGATGTGAGAATTTGTTTTTAGAAACCACTGGTGTAGGTTCTGATTTTCAACATTAGCGGTCTTTTCCATTCCATTTTAAACGGTAAATATAATAAAATGTTCTTCTGGAATAAAAACCAAGCTTCTGATGTTAATTTGCTTTAGTTTGCAAATGTTTTCCTTGTCCTCAATGAAAAAAGTGCAGACTCGTTTGTTTTAGCAACCCGATTTAGCAACCTTTTTTGTTTGATTTAGCAACTTTTGTTTCCTGATACTAAAGATGGGATAGGGAAGACGACTTGGGGTTTAGTATGCAATCCCTGCACTTTGGGCTTCTAGCAATTTCCCACTTCGTTGCAATTGGCTTTTCTTGGTGTATTTAATCTGACTTTCCCTTCATATAGATCTTTCAATGTCAATCTTCGGGCTGTGCTGCAAGTCTCCCAGGTGAGAAATCTGCATGATATTGGAAGGACCATGTAGGACTGTAGAAGCAGCTAGTCAAAAACTTCCCTTAACAAATGGAATATTATTATGGTCTAAGTGCATTTACTCAGAAATAAATCTCCACCTCACTGCTTGGGTAACCCTCTTCAGATTTAATACCGATGCCCTGGATATCATTAAAATGCAAATGATAAATTCTGTGTTGTCACAGATTTTTGCCCAGAAACTGATTGCCAGAGGAGCACCTGGAGTTATTGTCAATGTTTCAAGCCAGGCTTCCCAACGGGCTATGTTAAATCACACTGTCTATAGTGAGTATCACTGCTGGAAAGTAAAGCAAAAGCAAAGAGAAGACGAAGAAATGGGAACTTATTATACTTATTTTTTTCTGTTTGCCTGCAGGTGCAACCAAGAGTGCCTTGGATATGCTGACAAAGTCAATGGCTCTAGAATTAGGCCCCCATAAGGTAAGCACCTCTGTCTGAAGAGCAAGATAAGGTCAAGCAAACAGCAAACAAAAATAAAACATTTTGTCATTAGGTGACTCTGTAGAGCTTAATATAAACCAAACCTGCAAAAAATGTGAGCCTTTCTTTGAAGAAAGGTTCAGTACGACTGAGTGAGATATTTCACCAAGAGAGCCAGTTGATTAAAATGTTAGCTGTTTTCATAGTGAAAAACCTTAAGAGTAACCTCAAAAGGCTGGATTGAATGTGTGACCCTTCAAATGTTGCTGAATTCCAACTCCCATTTGGCCTTGGCCAACATGGCCTGATGAGGGATGATGATAATTCTAGATTACCAATATTAATAAGAATTCTAGACCATCAGCAGTTCTAGACCACATCTTCCTTAAAGACCGAGAAGGTGTCTGCTGGCTGCTTAGTCTAACCATGCATTCATTATTGCCTTTCTTCACTTTTCAAGATTCGGGTAAATTGTGTGAACCCCACAGTTGTCATGACAAATATGGGACGCCAAAATTGGAGTGATCCCCAGAAATCTGGACCTATGCTTAGCCGTATTCCATTGGGAAAATTTGCAGGTAATTTGGAACACAAACATCCTGTGTCAGAGGACAAGAGAGGGTCTCTGTAGACCTAAAAACATTCCAGAGGCAAAGTGGTTAGCAATAACTGAGAAACATGCACCAGTGCTATGGCTGCTTTAAAGAGCCTGTTCATCTGGAATGTACAAGCTTCTGATCAAGGCCTATAGTCTCCCAACTGTTCTACCTCTGATAGTGAAACTGAAATAGATTACATTTCTGGAGAAGAGCTTTCCCTGTTCCTTACATAGCAAGCCTTAAGCCATTTTACCTAGATAAAGTTAATGAAGTGTTTTCCTTGGAACAAGATGATTGTTTTTTCCAATTGGAGATTTATCTCTGGTACCTTATCATCTCAATTCTCTCTGTTATCAGCATCACACCAATTACAGACAATTTAACAACAACAAAAATTTTCATCTGTTCCTGTGAAAAGGAATTTATGAATTTAATTACTAGAAAAAGCCACCAGGGTTGGCTATTTCTGACTGGATAAGATAAGAGTAGGTAGTATCATTTGGTTTTAGGAATAGGAAATTCCTTCCTGTTTGTGAAAGACTTAAATAATTCTATTGATTTGATTGCCTTCACGATCGCTTTCAGCCATCATTCATGTATCTATTTTTACAGAAGTGGATGAGGTGGTAAACGGTATCCTGTTCTTATTGAGTGACCAAAGCAACATGACCACTGGTGCCACACTACCCATTGATGGAGGATTCCTCTCCAGCTAGAATACCTTGTTGGGTAAATTCGTTTGGGATGAATAGCCCAAATTCTTCATGATTTATCTGATTTAGTCTTTTTCAAAATACTGAAGGATCATGAAATGGAACAATATGATATACCAATAAATCAATAAAGTAGTAGAAAGAATTTATCTTCTTTAATGCAGTTAATAGGAAGAGGGATGATGAAATGACCTTCCTTCAGCTGATGACTCTAAAACACTACTTACTTATGGATAAATGTTTATTGTATAAAATAAGGTGTTCAGCTCATCACTACACGATGATTAAAAATTGGACCCATCTCCATCCAAATCCCTCAAAGCTCTCTCTAACCCAACCCCCAGCCCATCATTCCTGTCAAAAGGAAGGAGTCGCTTGACATCTTTCACACGTCTTATGGAAAGGTTCCTTCCAGGTGGCCCTCTTCTGCAGAGGCTGGACAAGGTAAAGAGACCTCCCTCTTCCCCAACTTTAGGGGAGTTTGATGATTAGTCAAACCACTCAGGAACAGCCAACAGGCTAATGGCCTGAAAGGCAGTGGTAGCTTTGAACAGCACAAGAGTGGTCCTGACCATTGGCTTAGCTAGTGTCCCACTTCGTAAAGCACAAATGGCTTGTTCTTCAACCTGTGTCTCATTTGTCTTTCCTGCCGCACCTGGGGTTCATTATATATTCCCACCACAAGGCTCTAGCACCAAGAAAAGTAGTAAGAAAGGGCTGTTCCTTTCATTCATGAATTATGTCCTAGCAGAGAGCCATGGAGAGTGTGTTTGTTGCATGGCTCCACCCTGGGGGTGGGATAGCACCGAGCTCCTTTTTTTTCCCATGCGGCCCTTTTACATCAACACGTTAAATTAAAGAGACATTTAAAAAACACTGACTTCACACATGATGAGGGACCCCGCCATCCCCTTGTGGGAACACCCGACAAACTCTTCCTCCTCAGACCCTAGAGGAGTCATCCATAACACGTGGAACTCAGGAATGCTCTAGAACACAGTGCATTTCTTGCCAGGCTTCTTCACAGGTGGAGGACAGAGCACAGCACGGATGGCTTCATCAAAGACAGTCTTGAGGCCTCTCTGGGTAAGGGCAGAGCATTCTAAGTACTTCACTGAACCTGTAGGAAGAGGGCATAAATGAGTGGGGAACTATGCTTTTTTCTTTCTGGAGACTTCATCAGAGTATGGAGCTTTTTATTATTTCATTTTTAAAAAGGTATGACAAGGAAAACAGCAGGGATCCCTTAAACATTCTATTCTCTCTCTAGACCAGCGGTTCTCAACCTGTGGGTCACGACCCCATTTGGGGTCGAACGACCATTTTACGGGGGTCGCCAAACACGATCCACCTTTTTTTTTCAACTGGCGGCACCGTGCATGCGCGCCCACATGGAGGTGGCACCGCACATGCGCGGCGCGTCCTTATGACCGGGGTCGCCGTATAAAAAGGTTGAGAACCATTGCTCTAGACCGTAGTGCTCCAGCTGTGCTGGGAGGTGATCTGGCAGTTTTCTGGAACTCTCTCTTTCAGAATAGGAAATGGTTTGCGGTTTACTCCCTAAAAACTGCCAGATCCCCTCTAGAATTGCTGAATCAGTGTGGCCTGAAATCAGAGATGAATTTGGAATTTCTCAGGATGTCCTATATTTGGAAACAGACTGTTCTGAACATCACTTCCTCACCCCCTATGTTGTTTTCCTCACCCCCTTTGTTCCTTCCACTTATTGGAAGATGAGTGATTGAATCTTGAAAGCTTGCACCAGTTTTCCTCTCTCCTTTTGATCAATATCGCCACGATTCATTTTTAAAAGAAAAGATGCTACTTAATCTAACACAGGGGTCCCCAACCCCCAGTCCGTGGACCAGTACCGGGTCGCGGCATGCCAGCAACCAGGCCGCACAAACAAAGCCCATCCATGAGATGCAGGCAGCACACAAAACCACACGCTTCAGTCCGCGGAAAAACCTCTCTCCACGGAACTGGTCCCTGGTGCCCAAAAGGTTGGGAACCTCTGATCTAATAGAAAGGAAAGTGGAGGATAACATCTTTCCCTGTTTAGGAAAAGAGTGATAAGAGATTCTTCACAGTTTAAGTTGGGGCAACTGAACTACAATTGTGTTTTCTAACGCAACAGAATGGGAATTCAGCTGCCACTTTTTAGCAAACGTGCCATCAAGGGAGGGAGCTCTGGAAGCTGCAAAAAAAGGGAGCTGCATCACTCACTCCTGCTCTCAGCTCGGTTTCTAAGACTCACCAATTTCCCTGGCCATGGCCAGACCTTGGGGATAGGTAATGGGAGCCAATTTCTTATCGCGTAGTCGTTCTATGGTGTCCTTGTCATCTCTCAGATCCAGTTTGGTGCCCACCAAAATGATTGGTGTGTTGGGGCAATGATGTCGAACTTCTGGGTACCACTGCAAGTAAGACAGACTCGTCAATTAATCTGATAAACTAATGTAAGAAATAGACGGAGTAGCAGATAATGGTTTCAGGATCAAATAATTGTTTCTTGCATTTTAGCTGACCAAAACCTGATTATCCTTAGAAAGGGGGAGGATGGATCGTGTTCCGTATCAAATTCCTTTGTGTTACATTTCTATTGGAGGCATCCTTTGTTGCCATCAACTAAGAGTAAAATATCCTTTATTAATCAATAGCAAGAATGTAAGCAACTGTCCCCTCCTTAAGAAAATAATGTTCAATGTGAAAGAATATTACCTTGGCTCGGACATTTTCAAAGGATGCGGGGCTCACCAGTGAGAAGCAGATGAGAAAAACATCCTGTAAGGATATGAGCAACAGTGTTCATGTGAAATAGCCAAAGTTGCAAACTTTTTCTTTCAAATCACATCAAATCTTGGATTTCCCACCCACCCAACATCAGTTCATAGAAACTCTAAATTCAAGGTTTTATAAAACTGACATATCAGGTCATCTTGATAGTTAATTGGCTGGAACTGATATTACTCATGTCCGGTTCTTATGAAATATGGAATGGATTTAGTGTAGTTTGCAGAAATAGAGCCTATTGCGACCTAAACTCCAGTTCAGCACTGAACAGAACAACAGGTTGGAAGAGACCTTGGAGGTCTTCTAGTCCAACCCCCTGCTGAAGAAGGAAACCCTATACCATTTCAAAAAAATGGTTGTTCAATCTCTTCTTAAAAATCTCCAGTGCTGGAGCACCCACATTTTCTAAGGCAAATTGTTCCACTGATTAATTGGTCCTAATTGCCAAGAAATTTCTCCTTAATTCTCAGTTGCTTCTCTCCTTGATTAATTTCTATCCATTGCTTCTTATCCTGCCCTAAGGTGCTTTGGAGAATAGGCTGACCCCCTTTTCCTTGTGGCAGCCCCTTACTTACCGTCTGGGGATAGGAAAGAGGTCGCAACCGGTCATAGTCTTCTTGTCCTGCTGTGTCCCAAAGGCCCAGATTTACGGGCTTTCCATCTACCATGACATTGGCAGAATAGTTATCAAATCTAGGGCAAAAGGTCTTGTCAGCAATAGTTTAGTCAGATGAATACATACTCAAGATAGCTCAAATTCTCTTTTCTCAATTAGTAAAAGTCTCTATGTTCTACTTTAATAAATATCTCTTTTATTACTTTTGCTAATTAAACTCAGCACAATTTCTATGTACAAACAATAAGCAATTAAAGATTGAGGTCTAGTTAAAAACATGGTTTTCTCTTCTGTATTATGTAAGCCGCTTACAAGATGCTGTTTTCTGAATGCCTTTTGTACTTCTGTTCTTTTATAGTAAGCTAGCACTATATGGGCTTTTAAAAAAAAAAAACCTTAAGAGACAGTAATTGACCATTAACAGCAGTCCCGCTGTGGAACAAATAGAAAACCAGAACCAGTGAGCAGAAAACCTAATGTTGGACCTCTGGTAAATTTTAAAAACAACTTGGCCACAGGATTAGATAGTGCTGTGTAATACAATGGTACATTAAATTCTCTGTGAAAAGACAACTTTCAACTAACTGCAGAAAAACAGTGTCTTAAAGTGACAATGTGCTCAACATTAGTTAATCTGTATATTACATACCAATAGGTTATATAACAACATATACATGGAGATACGCCTTGAAAAGATCCTTTTCTCTCTGCCTTCTAGCAATGAAAGCAGCTAAAGCAAGAACATAGAATGGAACTTGTAAACATTTATTTTGTGAAACTATGTTTGAGGGCAAACCTGGGAATTACTTTTGCCAGCATGAGCTCTGTCACATCATATTTCCACATTGTATATGCTCATACACAAAATAATGTAAAATACTCAAACACCTCATCTTCTGCAGTGATTACCCAAGGACACTTTATGCAATGGAATAGTGGCTAATCTTGACTTCTTGGTGGATGTACATGGTTAGTTAAGTCCCACACTAAAACTCTTCATGCATGACTGAGTGTACTATTTCTCTGTATAGAACTTGGTCACGCTTGAAGGACCCCTTGGTGTATCAAATTCTTCTAATACCCAGCATCTCCTAATCCTAATATGAGAACAGTTCAAATCACTGTGCTTTTGCATTTATCTTATCTCCTGAAACCAAAGTTTTCTCCCACAATACTCACACAGTGGGGATGTATTCTCCAGGGAAGGCATTTGTCGTATAACTGATCAACAGACAGGTCTTTCCCACAGCCCTGAAAACATGAAAGGAGAAACATTAGGCTAGATAAGTACAGTAAGATGATAAATCCAAGAGTTTGGAGGAAAAACAGATATGTTCTATAGCCCTAAACCTCAAGTTACTAACTCAGGTTTCTTTGCATCCCATACATGGAAAGCACACCTACATATCATCGTTATTATTGTTTGTCATCAGATAGTCTGAATGTGGTATACTTTACTACTGATTCCTTTCCAAAACTCTAGGACAGTTAAAGATATTGCTATAATATATATGTTTTTCAAATCATTTTTTTGTAATGGATGATAAAGTATATTTTGCAGAGATTCTTCCAATGTACTCATAAAAACTATTATTTAAATTACCAGGGCACAATCAGATCAAAAATTAGAGGAATAAAATGTTAACACATTCAAATTTTGAATTATTAACCCAAGAACATCTTAATGTTGACTTTATTTCACCTTATATTGTAGATGACCTAGTAACCTTATCTTC